GCTTTAGGCTTGTCTCTTTATAAAATGGAAAAAATGAGCACAAACAAGGAGATCTTAGTTCAGTCTCGGCTTTGTCTTCCCTCTGAGTCTGGAAAAGCTCCTCTCACCTTGATGATACATGCCTAAAATTTCTCCATGAAGAGTTAGCCATTAAAAATTACTCTTTGCCAAAACCATTTTTAAAATGAGTGTTAATTTATCATTTTACTTAATGCCCCTTGTCTCATTGGAACAGCCCAGTCTGTGACAGCCTGGGAGGAATCAGTACTGGCATTTTAAAGCAGAAAGTCTGGTAGCAATTAATTGCTCCAGTAAGAAAGTCAAGTCTGAGTCCTAGGGATCAAGGAAGGCCGGAGGAACAAGTGTATAGCACATAATTCAACCTGACAACTGAGTCTTATTTTTGGATGATGGAGGACCGAAGTGGCCAAACCTTGCTTGCTCATTGGCCACATGGGGCTTGTTTGGCTCCTGGAAGGTCTGGAAAAGTTGTTCGGAGAGTAGAGTTGAGAGGTGGCATAAATGAACACACCTGGCTTCCCAGTTTTAACTCATTTACTATATCAAGGAGTATTTCTTCCCACGGTAAAATATGCTGAAATCTGAACAGAATTTCAGAAGCCCAAGATTCCTAAAAAGAGGCCCAGGAGTTTATGTGGCAGTAGACATGTAAAGAGCAAGGGTGAAGTGGTTTCCAACAAAGTGAGAAGTTACCACTCCCCAGGGAATGTTTGAGAATTTGTGGGACATTATCTCAGTGATTGGGGGATGCTGCCACCTGCAATTGAGGGTGGGGGTGAGAGAATGCTGAAGGAGCTGAGGTGTATTTTGACTCGGCATTGAGTGAAACAGTATTGCCTAGTAAAGAACTGTCTCACCCCAAGTGCCAAAAGCATCCTCACTAAGAAATGCTGACTTACAGTACAGGATTAAATTAAGCTATAAATTAAGCTGAACTAGATCAGTAATTGAAAGTTTGTACTCTTAGGACTCTGAGGATAAATGCTATATATATATGTAAAGAATAAGGAAGATGGTGCTATGATCTTATACAAATATTTTATTAACGTTAATTATCTTGTGGATAGTTTTGCTCAATTTTTGCTCAGTTGCTTACAGAGGGTAAATTTTATTTTCTAATCTCAGAGTAAAACTAGGAACAGGGGGCTGTAGATATAAATTCCCAGAATCAAACTCCTGCTGGCTAGAAAAATTGGTTTACATAATGGAGTACACTGTACCTATAGCTACACCTAAAGCATGTTCTCAGCAGCCGCCGATAATGTAATCAAAGACAAAATGATACACATATTGTCTTTGTAGTTAGGAAAAATTGGATTTTGTAAATGTACTACAGATAAAAGTAATTTTGTTCCTTTTTTAAAATCAGATGGTGAATAAATTTATGAAGGAACATGATTGGGAGTGAGTGGGGTTGAAGGAAGAATAAAAGACTTACGTTGTTGGAAACCTTTCTTAAGAAACATTTAACTAGTTTCCTTTCAATGTTATATGTTACTGAGATTACAGATGATTCACTGTGGTTTCTTGAGCCATCTCCCACATTTATCTCCAAGTTTAGTTATTTCTAGGACAGTTCATTCATTTAGCATTTATTTATTTTTTAATATCTTTTTATTGACTTTAGAGAGATGAAGAGAGAGAAACATTGATGTGAGAGAGAATCATTGATTGGCTGCCTCTGCACACCCCCTGCTGGGGATCAAGCCTGCAACCCAGGCATGTGCCCTGACCAAGAATCAAACTGATGGCCAGTTGGTGCATGGGATGATGCTCAACCAACTAAGCCACATGGGCCAGGGCATTTTCAGCATTTATTGAATGCATTTTTTCTAATATGTACACTTCTGTCAAGTATGAAAGACACACCTGCAAACATGAAAATACCTACTCAAGGTAATGTCACCGTGGCCATGATATTAAAATACTATGGGGCCAAGGGAACACTCTAGCTAATAACTCTGGCCTTTGATCACAGTATGAAAATCATTAAAGTTCCCTGGAAATGAGACAGCATAGTGTTTCTACTCTCCCACTAGCTCCAGAGCATTGACTAATAAGCTGGATAACTGTGGTATAAACAGACAACTGAATTTTTAAATTCACTTGTAATTAGCATATGATACATAGAGAGTCTGCTTTATTTCTATGTATGTAGTCAAGTGTATGCATCATTTTTTTTAATGCATCATTTCTTAATACTCAAACTATAAAACCTTCCACAGTAATTGAACTACAGACTAAGTCCATTTGCTGTAGTTCCTGTCATTGTGAAGTGAAGCAGTTAATTTTGAGCAGGTGTGAAAAGATGCCACATGGTCACAGACAAGACCAGACAGAGAAAATGACTTTCCACTGCAGCATATTGATTTGGTACCTCAGCAGCCTGCTACTTTGTTCTTTATTAAATTATACTTAAAATATTTGATTTTAAAATAATGTACTGGCTTTCTCTTTTGCTTATAAAATAATACATGTCAAAAACACTAAAAAGCATGAATACAAAAATGGAAATTGCCCTTAATACATATTCTATTCCATATCCATTGTGTGCTTTTTGGTGTTTATCCTTCCAGTGTTTTTTCTAGGCATAGATACACTTATACAGTTTGTTTTCTTCTAGATCAGCATCATGGAGTATAAATGTTACTGTAAGTGCATTTAAGGAACAATTTTTTTCATTTATTGATTTTATAACCTAATTCCTATGAGTTTTCTTCCTATTTTAGTATTTTATTCACAAAGATGGAACAATTCAGGGTTTGGTATGCAGGCAGAGTGGTTAGGGGCGATCAGGCAGGCAGGGAGTTGAGCAGTTAGGAGCCAGTGGTCCCGGATTGCGAGAGGAATGTCTGATTGCCGGCAGTGGGATCGGGCCTAAACCAGCAGTCGGACATCCCCGGAAGGGTCCCAGATTGGAGAGGATGCAAGCCGGGCTGAGGGACACCCCCCCTCCCCTGTGCATGAATTTCTTGCACTGGGCCACTAGTCCTATATAATAAAAGGCTAATATGCAAATTGTCCCCTTGACCTGGAGTTCCACCAGGGGTC